ACTGTGGGCTTATAAAGAGTGTAAACACTTTCGCTATCCTTTTGTTTAATTCAAATAAATTGTTTAAATGAAAAAAACAAGAATTTGCTTTCTATCTATTGATTTCACTATTATTTACGTCCAATGGTTTTCTATAAGTTATTTATTTGAGTTTATATAAAATTTTATTTTCCAGGAATTCATTTACCATAACTTAATATTAAAGGCTTTTATTGTATTTCGCGTATAACACAGACTTTGAAAACTTGATTATAAAACTAAACGTTTATTGTAGAGCGCTATCAGACTATCAAAACATTTTGTGAAACAAAAATTTTATAAAACGGTTATATAATAGGATAAAGTGATTGATAGGACGACTGACTGGACTTGAGTTTGAAATCGATCGACAGAGCGCTCCGGAAATTAATCTCCGGGTTCTCCGACAGCCAACGGGAGGCCCGACTCATGACTGTGTCGAACGTCTCGAACTCGGGCCGCGAGAAGAGACTGCCGCCCGACAGGTGTAGGGGCACGAAGTCGGCGATCCCTATCTCCTCCTCAGATGACGGCCCCTCCTCGTAGTATATCCTCACCACTGTCACCGTCGTGTCCGACGAGCCCGGGAGGGTTGCCTTCAAACATAACACACAAATCACATTCAATGAGTCGTTACGCGTATTGACTACAGAATCGGCGATAATATAACGCTTTTGCGATCGATTATTACTGTTTGAAACATTATGTCATTATATTGTATATTGCATTGCATTTACTACTGCTGTACGCGCAGTGCTGTATAATAAAGTCATCAAAATAATGACTTTTAGTTTTAAATCTAGAATATATTATGATTTATTACGAAAAATTTTTTTTATACGTAAGACAAATTATTTGCGGAATTTAAACTATTTTTATTGCAAAATATTTGTGTTATATTTAATAAAATTCTTAATATTAATGCCTAAATATCCATAAAGTATTCTAATACTGGTGGAAATTATTTAGTTTGGACTAAAGTGCACATACTTTGAAAACGTGTAAATTACGGCTATTTATAGAAAGATATTTAATGTATTTATTGAATAATTTTATTTCTATTCATTAAGCTTTGAAATTCAAAACTGAACATTTGGACAACAATTGCAATTGCATGTCTCATTTTCCCACTCATTACTACTCATTAGACCCGAAATGGAAAACAATTTTATTATTTAAATGAGAGCCAAACGGATAGATTCGAGTGAATTCCCATTACTTATAAATGGGATCCGAAATCCTTTTGCTATCCATCACACAATTATACAACAACTAAATTATAACGTGTAATACCGTTCCGCTAATTAAGGTTTCGTATTTGTTTGAACGTATCAAATGGTTTGCTATACATAACAAAAAACTTAATTAAACCTCTCATGGAGTCTCTAAAGAGCAGAAATCCTGAGGAAGTGCTTCTCTTTCTGTCGCATAATTAAAGACTTTATATAAATGAGATTTTTATGTAATATGGCATTCAATTGGGGATAGGCATGTATGCAAATGAGAGGAATTTGAGGGATTACTTCGTACTGTACCTCCGGATCAAATCTTAGGTCACCAGTGGATTCACAGGGAAGGCATTCAATGGAGACGATTCTGCCCTCAAACTTGCCGTCTCTGATAATGGCGTTCACTCTATTGATCACCTCATCTAAGGTCTCGATTTTGTTGCCTTCTTTGCGGTCGGGCACGAAGTCTCGGTAACCCAATACCTGGACGTCCTCTTTCTTCGTCTGTAGCATGTCTTCCCTTTTTCTCATCCATACCCTGTCCATAGCCAACAGTAATCGCGTAATCGCACCGGTAGTGCCATAAATGGGCAGACAAGTGAAAAATTATAGTATTAACGCAAAGCAAAAGTAAAGTCAGACTATGGATGACAACAAAAGCGAAGTTTATTATCACAAGAGTTTTGTTGTTGTAAAAGAAAATGCATTAAAATTTATGATTAAACTTAATGTTTTATATATATATTTTTCTGTCTATTATTTTACTTTATTTTTGCTCTCAACTCATTTCTAGAACTTTTCAATTAAATGAAAATTATATTATTTTTTATTAAAATACCATTTCTTTCATCTATTATAGTCATTAAAAAATTTATTTATTTTTCATTTTACATTAATATCACGTCTTTTCAAATCAATATTTTTTTTGTAATTAATGTGCGACTGTATAATAGTATAAATTATTTATAATATTTCGTTTATTTTAGATTAAATTGTTTTATTTTTAACAAAATTCCTGTGTTTAATTAAACTGGATTTTAAATTATATTTAAAAAGTTTACTATTCTGGTATTTTTAAAGTACAATTTTGTATTTATATTTTTAATGTTACTCAAAATATTTAATTAATGTGTAGGAAGTGATGAATTTATGAATGAACATGTTTTATATTATTTAATAAATAATTAACATATTTGTAGAATATGTTTTAAATTAATTTATACTACTACTGTAAAAATATACTTGAATGTTTATTGTTCATTGATCTATAAACTGAAAGATAGGAAACACAGCACATAACCTATTATATTTGATGACACATGTACTTGATTAAATTCTGTACTATTTAAATATAAATATTGTGCCAACAATTTTGTATAGTGGATAATGATCTAGATACTACTGATTAATATATTAATTGCTTTGTTTTCCTTTTAGATATTAATTAATTTGCAAATACAAATCTAGATTTGATTGTGTCTAGAATATTGTCTTATTTCAAAATGTAAATAAAGAGATGAATATAGACGTTTGATATGAAAAAACATTTATCGGAGTTCAGTCACAAACACATAAAACTGTTTGCCTTTATTATAGCCATTCTTAGCGCACAAGAGAGTTGAGACACAAAATAAAACCCAAAGTAAAGCTAATGCTGTTTGATATGAAAAAACATTTATCGGAGTTCAGTCACAAACACATAAAACTGTTTGCCTTTATTATAGCCATTCTTAGCGCACAAGAGAGTTGAGACACAAAATAAAACCCAAAGTAAAGCTAATGCCAGAGATTTAGACAAATTGGATGCGAAATACACTAATAAAGCAAAATAAAGAGAAACCGTTTTCCCTCTCTTCTATCATAAGAGACTATGAAAATACTCATCATATCATTGACAGCATCTCTACTGTGAGACAGTTGTGCCAAATCTATATCGATGTCACAAATAAAAGCAAAGGTATAGCAGAGAAACGGTTGAGTTTAAGGAATATATAAAGAATATTCTGTATATATTTGTTTATATGTATTACATTGGATATAAAATAACAGAATTTCAACTTAAAATCTAAACTTGGAAAATTACGTAAATAATATTCATGATATCAGTTACTATAATTATTAATTATAATTAGCCTGTATTAAATATCTATTTCTGTCGTAATTGATATTAATGGCAACAAAAACCACATTTCATACGTCAGACCATCTCATGAATCGCATTATTATATTATTTATTAAATGCAATAAAGATTTAGTATTAATGTTTGCCTCAAACTCTCACTCAAAATCTATTGTCATCTTATATATGATATAACACTACAAAATACTGTACAGTATATAGAAAAACTACTTTTAAATTAATTTTTTATGTAATAGTCTTTACTTATTAAATATTTGTCTATAACGACTTTTTGAAAGATTTTAAAATTTAATATTTACAAAGTCGTAGAGACAATCATTGAAATTTTATTTCGTTGGATAATATATTTTTGAAAAAATTAACAACTAAATAAATTGATTTGTTTTGCATTTTAATCAAATTAAGGAAACTTAAAACTTGAGATATACTTAAATTTTAAAAATTTAATCCAATTTATGCGTTAAACTCAATATCGTATTCACTTTTTTCAAAATAATAACAACAACACAAACTTGAGTGAAAAATACACACATTTCCCAGAAATATGTGACTTTATTATAGAAAACTTTATTTTTCTTATATTATACTCGAATTGCAGTCAATTTCTATTCAAATATATGCTTGCTTTATTTAAATTCAATGTGTAGTTAAACATAAAGTTTCCTTTCATATACAGTATTTGAGTTAAATTTTATATTAATTTTAGTTTTCAATACTTTTTAAAATGTAAATCAAATTTTTTTCTTTTTCCATTTAATATAAAATTTCCTACTTTTATGTCTTATGTTTTACATTATATTATATGATTATTAAATTTATTTTAATCTCGTTTCGTGTCTTTTCTTTCACTTTTTTTTATAGTAAAAAATGACAATTCGTTTCATTCAATTAAGACTTGAATTATTGTATTATTTATGCACCGGGAGACACAGAATTTTAAATAAGTTTTAAATAAATAAAAATATAGCTTTTGTATAAAAATGTACACAAAAACTTAGACATACATCGAATTGTCATTAATTTTCATTTAATATGTTTAATACAATAAAACAATTACAATTTATTTCCTATATTATTAATCTTCATTTGATTCACAAATAATTCAAACAAGTGTTGCGTTTTTATATGCAATTAATATTTATCTACATTTTAATAAGAAGTTATTTTTAATAACTGTATTATGTCTGACTGATTAATATATTTATCAAATTATTTTTATATAATATAAACTGACAAAAGCAACTAATAAATCATATTAAAAATTTAAGGACACCTCTGTTACCTGTATATGTCATCTGTAATAAGAAATTACATTTATAGCACAAAACACTACAGAATAGTAAGATTGCTAATAAATTAATTTAATATACAACATAGTCTCCCTGTACAATCAGTTAATTTTTAATGTATTTTTGTATACAATATCTAACTTTCATTTGTCATTTTCTAAATAGAAATTTATTTTTCTTTATATTTTAATATTTAACTATATTTTTATAATTTATATAACAAAAACTTAATTATAAAATTGTTTATTTTTGTAAAATTATATTAATTCATTAAATACGTTATTTAATTAGTTATAGATTTATAAATTTATAATTTAATTTATCGGACATATTTATAAGATCACAGATGTTTGACACAAATATACTATTCTTATGTCTATAATATTCTGGTCGAGTAACAAAATGTCACTAAAATTAAGAATAATAATAATATATACAGCATTTTATTAATAGTCTTACGGTACAAGTTAACTTAATTCACTACCAAATCTTTATTGTTTATGCGATTACTGGACACACACACATACACACACACACACACACACACACACACACACACACACACACACTGACTGTATTTAAATACAAGTATTGAGAAATATATAGTCAAAAGAAAAATAGCAAAAAATAATAATAACTAAAATGCTAGCGAGAAATTTAAATTATAAAAATATAGTTAAATATTAAAATATAAAGAAAAATAAATTTCTATTTAGAAAATGACAAATGAAAGTTAGATATTGTATACAAAAATACATTAAAAATTAACTGATTGTACAGAGAGAGAGAGAGAGAGATTTATATAAGATATTGAGTTTATGCTTCGTTTATAATGAACTTTAATTTACTTTCGGATTTATATCAATGATAAGTGTTATTATTTATAGAAAATTAGTTTTATATTTCATTTAACATACAGTATTTCTTGATACTATAAAGTCTATAGTATCGACAAACACAAAACAATTTTGTAAAATAAACTCAAATTGTGTAGAAAACACACAAATTCTCATTTTTTGTAAAACCATTAGTATGTTATGTCCCGTAATCCACATTTATTGCCATAGATTCTTGACTCTAATATTCTGTTATTTTATTTTATTTTTCCGGTATTAGTATTAGTAATAGAATTCGTGAAGTGTTTTAAACAGAATCTCAACATTCTTATCATTATGTAAACACACAAATCAATGGCCAGTTTTTATATAAATTGCAAACATTATTAATAAAATGATTGACTTTTAATACTTGGATTACAAGGCGTTTACAAAAATTCAATAAACACCAGAAAATATATTATATTTAATCCTTATTTCTTAGAAATTAAAGCCAACACACGTAATATCAATATAAGATTTAGCTTGATAGATGGTCAATATTAAATTGAGTTTTATTAAATTGTTTATCAAAAATGAAATGATCACAAATTTAATCAGATATTACTTGTAATATTTTGAATATTTATATTTATGAAATACAATAATAACAATACGTTGGAGAAATAATTGCATTAAAACATTACAAAACTGTGTAATAACTAAAGAATATTACTGATGTTTTAGATAAACGATCTGGCTCATTTCAGTTCGTTTCGACTAATCATATATACAAGTAGTTTATTCGCAACAATCACGCGATTCTCCATTCAAACAACCAATTAATTAATAGAAAACAAACCTTTTAATAACTTATAATATTTGTTTTGTGATAAACAATACTTAAGGATTAATAGCATAACAAATGTTATTGCAAATTTTGAGCAATTTTTAATCAAAATATTGTAAGAAATACGATTTTTAGGTATATAATTACCTTAAATTAAACCTAAACCTAAACCTTAAAAATTGAAATAAAAACATAAAAAGTACGATTTTTAAAAATACAGTACAATTTCATGGGGGATTAAAGTAAAGATATGACTTTCATTTTGTGTCTCATTTGATGACAAAACTAACAAATATATTAAACATATAATTCATATAAGAAGTGGTTTGTCTATAATAACTATGAGATTACATTTGGACCACAAAAGGAATTTATAGTATTCCTCAGGAAATGAGAGAAATCTAATATAATTGCCTTTTTGGAGGAAAAATAATTTTTTATACAGAAATATACGAACACAAAAAAATGTGTATTTATGTCTAAATAAAGTATTAAAACTAAAACTTAAATATATTATCATTTGCTGAAACTTTCAAATATATTTTGACAAATGTCTAGAAAAGCATTTCAAATTTCATTTGTAGTGCAAATATTGTAAACACAAATGGAAATCAAACTTAATTAAGTGTTCATGAGAAATGAGATCAAACTCTTTTCATACGAAATAATAACTCATTTTTGAGAATTAATAACCAGAGAGAGTCATAAAAGTATCCGGATCGATTTGTCATAAATTTGGTTATAAATAATTGTCTGTTTGCTAGAGTGGGTGAATGGTGTGGACACAGACCTGAGGGCTTTGATGGCCGCTTCCTGACCCATGACCTGAGACGCGGCCACATTTGGCATGAGATCCCATTGCGAGACGTGGGAACAGGCGTTGTGTCGGAACAGTAGGGTCACGGACTCGCAATTGACAACTTCCCAGTCATAGTTATGTTGCAACCATTTGTTCGCCACTTCTAATAATATTCTGTAGAAATAATTCATCGACAATATGAGTCTATTATTCATTAAGTTTTGTGATATAATTACTGTACTGGACACAAATTACTCGTAATTCACAAGAATATGAGACTGTTTCACAGAATTGTATCAATTGTATCAATGTAATTTTATTTAATTACTAAATTCCACAATCGTTTTGCTGTTTCACTAATATTCTCCATTCAATGCAACAAACTTCTCATTAATATAGAAATATAGCGCAAAAATAATACGATAATAAACGTGCAAAAGTTAATATTAAATTACTATTAGTATGTCTTAAATGGTTATATAATTATGTCTGTTTACATCAACATGTATTCATTAGCAGAGACATATATTAATAAAATTAAATCATTTATTCTTAGAAACTTATAATGACATCAGAAATGTTATTTTTAATGAAAAATCTAAAGGTAATAATAATATGATAGAATTTTAAAACAAACTATTACCATAAAAAAATTTAATTTAAAAGTTAATTAATATTTTATTTGTATGACATACACAATATGGCTATTTAATCAACTAATACTGTAATATCAATTTAAAATATCTGAAAAATTAAATATATTAAATTTTGTTATCTGTATGGTATGGTTTATAATAAAAAATTAATAATATTATCAATAATGGTTTTGTTATAATAGTCTCAAAAGTGCCAAATCTGTGAATTATCTTCTAAGCTATGATTCACTCGAATGTATTGATTATCTCATAAAAGATATAACAGATTATCGCCAAAACTATTTATTTATTTGAGTGAATCTCTATTTCGGCAAAAACGTGCTGTGAATAAATCTGGGCTTAGATTTTGACCAAAATATGCAATTTTTATCAGACAAAGCAAATATTTCTAGCGTTTAATTAATTGTGTCTTATTTATTTGAGTGAATCTCTATTTCGGCAAAAACGTGCTGTGAATAAATCTGGGCTTAGATTTTGACCAAAATATGCAATTTTTATCAGACAAAGCAAATATTTCTAGCGTTTAATTAATTGTGTCTCTCATACTAATCACTCACATTTCCATTAACTTTATTCCTCAGCATTTTAATGGATGAAAATCACTAAAAACTGAATTAAGATAAGAGTCCCGTTCACCAGAATATACACACAATTAATGCAAATACAGTCATTAGTGCCTTAAAAAGTAATTTTGAAATTAATTTTATACAATTAGTTGAGTAATATTCATAAGCTCTGAATTACTATATGAAAAGTAGAAAAATAACTTAATATAATTAATTAAATAATTAAAAATATGACACAAATATTGTGTGTATAGTTGTTATAATAATATCTAACTTATGATGGGGATGATACCTGAAAGGATGATAAAATATTTTGTCCCTCTTATCCCTGTGCGTAACGGAAGGCACGAAATCAACGAAAGTTAGCTTAGCGTCGGAGGGGATGTCGCGGCCGTAGATCCGGGGTATTGTGTCTCTCATACTAATCACTCACATTTCCATTAACTTTATTCCTCAGCATTTTAATGGATGAAAATCACTAAAAACTGAATTAAGATAAGAGTCCCGTTCACCAGAATATACACACAATTAATTCACAAACTTGCTTTAGGACTGTATTGCAAATACAGCCATTAGTGCCTTAAAAAAGTAATTTTGAAATTAATTTTATACAATTAGTTGGTAATATTCATAAGCTCTGAATTACTATATGAAAAGTACAAAACTAACTTTATATAATTAATTAAATAATTAGAAAATATTAGACAAATATTGTGTGTATAACTGTGTATATTCTGTGTATAGTTATTATAATAATATCTAACTTATGATGGGGATGGGGATGGGGATGGGGATGGGGATGATACCTGAAAGGATGATAAAATATTTTGTCCCTCTTATCCCTGTGCGTAACGGAAGGCACGAAATCAACGAAAGTTAGCTTAGCGTCGGAGGGGATGTCGCGGCCGTAGATCCGGGGCGGCTCTGGGGGTCGGTTCCGCTCGCCCTTACATTCCCGCAAAAAACTTGCTAAAGCCATGGCTCACACACACTGTTCACTCGCTTATGTATATTTACAGTCAAACTATTGACAACTTTTTTCCTGACGACAAACTTATCATAGAATATATAAAATGTGAAATAATTTTCGATACGTTTTTATTTTAGACATAATTAGATGAACGGTAGGAACGGGTGGTTGTATTCCACGGGTGGTTCAGTAGTGTTGCATCACTTTGACGTCCAGTTCCATAATGAACAGTAGGAGTCGAGTGGAGTGTGGAACTGGTGTTAGACTTGTAAACCACTGTTTTTCTGAACTATTTTTCGCGTGAATATCGATCTTTTGGAGAGAAATTTTTGTGTATATTTTGTTTTATATGATTGTTGTTGTGTTTGCGGTCCCACTGAGTATGCGTTTCCACAAACTCTCTCTCTCTCTCTCTCTCTCTCTCTCTCTCTCTCTTTATTGAAATATTATATTAATCATAAATAAAAGGAGAAAATGCAGTGAATATTGAGGAATAAAGAGAGAGAGAGACAGAGTTATAATATACTTTCAATTACAGGAATATTCTGGTTGTCAGTCGTGTCTCTATTCTAAAGAGTATTTCCTGAATCACAAGAAAAATCTTTTTTAAAATGAATTCTCTCTTCACTTGTATTGACCTCTTTATTCCTCAATATTCACTGCATTTTCTCCTTTTATTTATGATTAATATAATATTTCAATATAAATATTTGGCCCCCAAAGGACTTATACTGTATTTACTTTTTTAGTCCATTCACTTCGTGTAAGGATTTCTATAAAAATACATTTCTTACTGAAAAGAAAACTTTTTAAGCTTTGAATGAAATATTTTATGCTTAAGAAATAACACAAAAGAATTTATTTTTCTTTAAACCTTAAACTTAATGCTAATAAATTTCATTTTAAGTCATTAGAGTCGGTGTACTGTGGTTTTAAAAAGTTCATATTTTAAGTTTTCTTAAATCATTAATTTGTTTCATTTGTGTAACTAATATTGTACTGTATCTATTGAACAATTTTTTTTGTTATTTTTAAAATTCAATTATATTTTTTTATATTAAAATAGCTATATTTAAATTTAATAGAAAATGATTTAAGCTAAAAATATTTGGCAAATAAATGGAAATATTATTAGAAAAGCAAATATTACATACGAATAGTAAATATTGATTTATTTTGAACTCAAATGCATAATAATATTTGGTTGAAGGGATAAAAACCGCTGATTTATATACGGCTTTAGAATTATAATAATATGTTTATTACCTGAGAATATGTCTTCGAGACATGTTTTAGTTGCCAAAAAAACTTTTGTCAAAAAATAAGAAAAATAATAAGATTTACAGAGACTTTCGGTGACATAATATATGACAAATACATTTGAATCGTCGATTTTTAGAGGTAATAATGTATTGATTTTCAGGCCATTGATTGATAGGCAGAGTTGGCAATAAATAAGACAATTTACTGTCAAATATAACTGTTTGAAAGTCTGTTCATTCCCTCACTTATATACCGCACATTAAAATTGAATCTTTGTTTGCAAGCAATCATTCAATACATGAATAATGATATCAAACAATGCATTTGCAAACTCTTGGGAACCGATTCCTGTAGTGTTAAATCGATTGATAAAAAGTATGTTATAGTTATAATGTATTTACCATTTCTTTTATGTGCAAACATTTGTTAAATCCAGATTTAATTTGCTTTTATTGTATTATTTACTTATATCTTAAATAGACTTTTAAAATTATAAATGTGATACTCTAATTTAGTATATATTATATAATATTATACTATAAATAGGTTTTATATTTAATAAGTTATTAGACATGAAATGCATTTTTATAAGTTAGCCTTTTTGCTATAAACAAAATGAATATATAAATTGACTATTTCTATGGATATTTGAATGTTTGACTTTTACAAAGTTATAAATTAGTTTAAGTTTCATTAATTGTATGAGAATTTTATTTCATTTGTCAATATTATGACAATATTAATAATGTATTTGTAATGGAAATGAATGCTAATAAAATCAAATAAAACTTTTCCAAACCAAATATAAGATAATTAAATACTATTAATGCATCTCAAATATTCTTCACAAGTAGTTCTCTGTGTTTATGTCGAAAATTCTCTTAAAGAGTGAAATATATAATCAATATTCCGTTGACAACAGAATATGAAGTGAAATACAATACTAAAAGCATTGTTAATATTACGGTATATTTGAAATGCATTTGCAATTTTTAAAATTAGGTTTTTTAAGCTAAAATAATTGAAATTAATACTTGAAAACTAATTTTATAAATATAATTTACATATACATCTGTAGAATTTCACAAATTAACAAATTTCATTAAAGTTTTCAAGTAACTCATATTAGAAACTGAAGTTTTTAATTTTAATAAATATATTATAAATAAATTAATTATTCTAAAAACAAATCTAATAAAATATTTCTAAAGTTTATAATAATAGTGTAATGTTATACAATAATCTCAGCTCTATGTGTTATATAGCTTACTTAAATATATCGATATACAGTATATTAATAAATGTCCACATATTCTGTATGCATTACATATTATCTAGGTTTATTGAGCATTTGTGGCATTTAAAGGTCTCTATAATGCATTCAAATTATTATCAACCAATAGTTCACAGAAACTGTTGTCTAGTTATAAACATCTTATGCGGTCTGACACACAGGGAATGGCATATACAGTAGTATTTCACATGATTTCCACCTAAAAGGAATAGAAATCCTTTAGACATTGAAGGGTATGGCTGAAAAATATAGCTCACTATAAATTTGCATTCAATTTTTATGCGTATTTCAAATACAGAAACCTATATTAAAGCGGTTTTAGTAAATAAATAAAAAATGAAAAAATTGTATCAAATTTTTAACAGTAAAACAGATTTTGATGGAAATGTTATTTTGCTTGACTGTATAATTCAGTGCTCACAGTTGTATATAAAAACTATTGCATTATATATGATATAAAACTGTCTAAAAACTGAATGCATTACTCGTGAAATGCATCTAAAGTTTTAAAATAAAAGTAAAAGTTTTGCATATATTCTGGGATTCTGTACTTTTACTTTTAATATATATTGATATATATTATATATATATCAATTCAAACACTTTTTCGTGGCTTTTAGTTTTTATGTTAATTCTGGACTCAAAATAATATATAAAACATAATCAGAGATATCTTCTCGTATACACTATTTTGATTTATATATCCGATTCTGTAGATAATAAATATATTCTCGTTTCATATATAAAAACTTATAAATTATTTAATTTATTTTCAAATATTCTGACATCAAATGGTAATATATTCTACAAAAATAAATATAAATGTGACTTTAAATTTCAATAAATTATTATTGAACAAGTTGTACCACAGTTTTACAGTTTTGTTATGCAAATGTGTATCACTCAATGTTCATGTAATGTATAAACAAAAAATTTGACAAATATTCAAATTAATAGACATCTACATATTGTCTTAATTGATTTAATTTAATTAACAATTTCCACACATTTGTCATTAATAATAGTGCAAATAGTGGTGATTTGTAATATAAAAACTTCAAATTCAATTAAATTGTAAATTGAATTGCAATACGAGAGAGAGAGAGAGAGAGAGAGAGAGAGAGAGAGAGAGAGAGAGAGAGAGAG